CAGAAAGAAATAATCTCTGCAGTCTCATGGCCAGGAAAGGACAAGGATGTTTCAGTTCCTGAAACACTGCAGAGGATTCCTTTCTTCTAAGATTTTGGAGCCATGGTGTAATTTTCCACCTCTTTTTCTTTTGACTTTATGAGGGTGGTGATATGTCTTATTTCAACAAAATTAAAAGCTTTTCACTACTTATTATCTCCTTCTAGTGAGAAAAGGTGTAATGAGGTCCTTTTGTCTAAAGGTGGCTTAGGTTAAATGAGGAAAGTTTTTGATAATCCACAGAAGCAGTGAGGTCTGGAGGACGTCTGGCTGTTTGTAATCTGGTCAGCAGATCCTGCTGGTTAATTTGTGACCCTTCATCCAGCAAAGCATGTCCAGTGCTTCACTTTACCCCCAGTCCCTCCTGGCTTTACATAACAAATAATTTGCTTAATACTGTTTGTATTTGAGTAGGAATGTTGCTGCAGATTAATGGGAACAAAGGCAGGCAGCAGAAGTCATAGAAATTCTGGGTGACCATGGCTGGAGCTACTCACACCAGGAGAAGAGGGCTCACTTCAAACACAACATTTCAGGTGCTGGGTGGTTTTAGCAATCCACAGAAATATTTATTTTGCCAGCAAATACCTCTCTTTGGCTGACAAAGCAGAAGGTCTGACTACCTTAGAGATTTTAGGGCTGAAGGGTTTGGTGTGGAGCTTCATGGAGGTTGATAAAAGAGTTTCAAAAAGCACTTCACTGGGTCAAGTGAGCCTAGAGGGGATGAGCCATGAAAAGGGTCACAGGAAATTTTAAGTGATTGTAAGGTCAAAACACATTAAAGCCATCAAAGAGAAATAGCTGCTGCATTAAACAGAAAACTCAGCAAGTTGTGAATGCCTTCCAGTGCATGGGAGGGCTGTGCCCATTTTATGTGGTGCTCTTTGCACACCTGTGTTTTATCTTAACACCTGCAGCTGCTTGTCACTTATCAAAATCCCCCCTGATCTGAAATACAACACAGAGCCAGCTGCTTCTGCAGCCTGCATTATCACCTTCAGCACAGGCTGACCTTACCTACCCCACCAGCTCAGGGCACCAGGAGATCATGAAGTGGTTCTGAGCTGTAAATGGTGGCCTTACAGAACTGGGGCACCACTGCATATGAAATTCTGTGCTTTGGTTCTTGCTGAAGAGCATGGAAATGCCAGCACTGGCAGCAAGGGAAGGATGAAGGCTTTATTTAGTGATGCTCACTGACTGCCAGCAAGCTTGCACCCAGTGCCTGAGGACAGCACAGGACTCCCCCTACTCCCAGTGCTATCTCCTGCCTACTGCAACAAAGGGAACACACAAATGTGTTTATATCCATGGCATCAGGACTAGTCCCCAAGAGAGATGGAAAACTTATCAAACCACTGCTGTCTATGGCTAACTCTCTGGGCTTTCTTAAGAGGAAGGCAAAAAAAAAAAAAAAAAAAAAAAAGGGAGTCTTTTCAAAGTCATGCCTGTACCTGGGAGGATTGCAATAATTTGATTTGCTCTCCTAGTGTCTGATAATTTATTTAGTTTTCCTGTGAGAGGCTCTGGCATTTTTGTTTGCTATTTTGAAATTGGAACTTCTCCACAGAGGCCAAGGAGTGGGACCAGAAAGGATCCAAACTAGTTATCATTAACAAATGTTGAAGTCTGCCTGATGGGTATTGAGATGGAGCTGTATTTAAGAAAGTTAAAGAAAGGGAGAACAAGGTGGAGATGTCAGGAAGGAAGAGGGGAGAGATAACACTGCATTCATTTACCTAAAGGTTCTTGTGAATTCCTTGGCAATAAGAGAATTTCTTCCCCACAGGGCAGGGAGGCAAAAGTGTTCCTCCTGTTCAGAACAGGTTTGGTACTGACTTGAACCCTTAGTTCACTTTGAATTGAACTCCTTTAGATTTATCACTGAAGTCAGAGATGCCATAAGTAATAAAGGCAGTTCATGCTATATTTTCATAGCTACTTGGTCATTCGTAAGGCAACCGAACAAAAAAATGGGAGAAATGGAAAGCTGAAAGTCAATTTGAACTTGTGTTTTATTCAGAATAAGACTGGACCCCACCTGTTGCTGAAACCATTGCTGAATTACTAATGTGAGTCCCTGCAGCTGAGTCTGTTGTCAGTACAAAAAAAAAAAATAAATAAAAACCAAGAATGTGACTGTATAACATTAAAAATATACAGAAAATGTAAGCAACAAAAGAAAGGAAAAAAGCTGAAATATCCATCTGAACAAGTTCTCATTACCTTTTCTTGAGTTTACTTTCTAAGAGGTGGTAGGAAATACTGTCCAAGTTTCATACGATCTCAAAATGAAATCTGTAGATTTTCAACTGATTTTAGGAGAGCAGGTTAGTGCTGAGGACGTTATGGTCCATGAATATCAAAAAGCACAAAGTGATTTTAAATCTAGAACCAAACTTTATGGTTTGGGCTTATCTTTTCTAAATTCTGAATGTCTGAGTTGTTTTATAACTGCAACACGAATTGATCCAAGATTGTGGATCAAAAATCTCTTACTGAAGAAGTGAGATCAAAGGGGAGAGAAAAAGGAAGAGGGAAAATAAGAGATTAAATTATTTCAGAGTTATGGAGGCCATGACCCCTTGAACTCGTGTAGGTTTTAACCAGTGGTTGCATCATTTTTTAACAGCTCAGCAAGAGCTGTGGATCCCTGTTAGCCTGAGGAAGCCGAGCCAAGATTACAGCATGGATCAGGAGAGGTGGAGAGAGAAGGAAATGGAGGATGACAGTTTGAGGGCTGGGGTCCAAGCAGCCCCTACAATCATGGCCTATCTGTCCTGCCTAAGGGCAGGTCATGATGCTGAGGGATCCAGGAGCCTTGGCACAGAACAAAATGCAAATGTAGGAGCCAAGCAAGAGCAGCAATACAGCTCTAAAAGCTGCCAGTGCAGCAGCATCTGGGTGAAGGGAGAGACCAGCACACAAAGTGCCACAAAAGCAATATTTCACTACATCACAGGAATAATGAGAGAACCTAAATCTATCTACTTAAAAATGTCTGATCATCCCTGAGAGAGGAACAAAAGGTTATTCTCCCATCAAATTAAAGTTGCTGCATTTTTGCTTGCTGTCTTTTTAGTAATCATCCCTATTTTGAGGCTCTATCAGGAATGCACCTCCTACAGGAGAGGTTTGAGGGGGAACTGTGGTCATTCAGAGCCCTGAATGCAGTGACAGCTCACAGGCAGGACTGCAGCATTCACACTCACTGATGTGCAAAAGGCAGCACAGCCCCGGGGCTGATGGAGGCACTGCTGTGTTTCACAGCTGGGTGTCCCACAGCCACCCATCCCTGCAGGCAGGGAGGAACCACACGGATTACCACGGGTGGGAAGGGGCCCCTGGCAGCTCCAGTGGCACACAAAGCTTTGGACATGGCAGGAGCCTTTGGGCACTAATGTGCTCTCACACCTTCACTGCCAAACTCCTCCTGACTTGGCTCTCTCACCCCGTCCAGCCACTTGCTGTGTTACACAGCTTTTTGTACTCCACCCAATTATCCAATGCCTTCTTCCATGTAAAATGCAAATCATTCCCACTGCCACCATACTGGCACTGCCATGTTTCTGAATTACCCAGCCTCTGATGGGAGCTTCCTACACTTGCCTTAACAGGCAAGGAGAGACAGGACAGGAGGAATTTGGGTACCTGCCTATGGCGTCCCCCTACATCAAACCAGGTTGGGATTTCAGGTGTGTGACCTCACAGAAATGTGAGATTTTTATGCTGGATGTTCTAAAATAACATTGATAAATACAGCTTAATCAGAGGGACAAAAACCAGCTATTCGATTTTTAGTGAAGTCAACAAAAAACCCATCTGGCTTCTTGTGTTTGAAAGAACAACCCAGCTCTCACATCTTATTTGTGCAAAAGAATAAAGTAAAAAGGTAAAGATTTTAACAAGTAATGGTTCAAAAGGGCAGTGGAAGAATAGAATTTTAGGATTTATGCTTGACTGAATGCAGAATCATACCCAAAATTGTGTGAAAACAATCCATCCTCATTAAGTCTTTTCTTATCCAAATTAACATTTGAGAACATGAAGGAGGAATTTTCCCACATGGAAGTGAAAGCTCTAACAATCTTGGCCTGTCCTCTTGCTTTTCTGAGAATCTTTGTCACCAGCCTCTCTGCTCTGGTGAGGCAGCTCTTACCAAAGCTTCCACCAAAGAGTTTCCACACATGACACAGCATCTCCCATAAGGATGGGATTTCAGATTCTCAATTCCAAACCATTTTTCTGGTTTTTAATTACAAGCCAACTGACCCTCTGCAAGGAAGCAAATGAGCCTCTATCAGAATCTGAGGTATTGTGATTCCCAGATTGTAAAAGTCTCTGTCTTTCTGCCCCACAGCCAAAGCAGAAGCCATAATTGGTCTGTGCTGGTTTCCAGGTTGTTTATTCTGTTTTTCTCTCACATGTTCTGCTGCCCTGCCCAGCTCTGTCCTGCAGGGCAGCGTGTGGGGCTCTGCCCTCAGTGGGATGTTACAAACATTAAATACCAGAAACTCCCTGGGCTGGATTTACAATAACGTGCCAATATCTGTCACCTACGTTGGACAGTGTGTCCCCAGCCTGAACCAACAGAAAGATGCCAACACCACAGTGAGACATGGAGGGCATGAAGAAGGAGAAAAAGGACAAGGCACACCCAATTTCCTCCATCTTGTCCCCTTTGGACCCCTAATCTAGAATCCTAAAATTTTATTTTTGCACCCATGCCACACTTAGTTATTATTACTTATATCAAACACTCAGAGCTGGTAATTCATCCTGTAGGATTGGACAGAGATCACAGCCAGTGTCTCTGGGGGCTCTGTCCAGGGGGGTTCCTGACCCCTGCCAGGGTCCCAGACCTGCCAGGGCAGCCAGAGGGATGCCCTGGACTCTCACAAGCCTCCACTGAAGTCTTCCCTCATTTCCCAGCTCCCACGTCCTTTGTTGTGTTCCTGCAGGTGTCTGTGAGCCCACGTGCATGAACGGGGGGAGATGTGTGCACCCCAATGTCTGTGACTGCCTGTCTGGCTGGAGGGGAAGGCACTGCAGCAAACGTAAGCACCTCTACTCCCATCAAAGTTTATATTCATTAGTCCAGTCAACAGCAGTTTGCAATCTTCTAATACTTAAAAACCAGCCCAGAATCTGTTCTGCTGTTTCAGCAGTTTGAAGAAATAACAGTTTTAAGTGCAGGTAATACAGAATGCTGTAAACACTCTGTGCTTGCAGAGGAGAAAAAGCTGTGTGGGGGAACCCTGGTTCTGCTTCATGCAGCTCTGTTATACATCTTGTTATGGAAATTCATTTTTACAGTACTTGAAGCATTGATTTTATGTTTTAACAGCTTCACATATTTTGTTACATTCTGGAGAGAAATGTCATGTATTTCAAAGTACAGAACTATCTAAAGCCTGCCATAAAGCTTTCCAAACTGATGTACTCTCAAGGTCATCGGTGCATAATTTGGAGAATGACGTGTTCTTACTCTGTAACTCTGACTACAGTTACATAAAAATGTAATTAAAAGAAAAACCTCTCACCCTAAAATATTTTCAAGGAATATTTTTCTGTACATGGCTATTCATTACCATGAAGTTGACAGATAAACTGAACAAATTTATAATCAAGATGACATACTGTATGTAAACCAGATTAAAATATTGGCTTTTTACCCTTTAGGTCCTGCTAGTAAATATGATTTCAGAAACAGTGGTTTGAATTTATAATATTAATAATATATTCAGAAATGCTGAAGGAAGGAAGTTTCTCTCATATACACCAGATCATGCACTCACTCTTTCAGGATCTCTGAACAAAAAATATATGCAATAAACATATCAAACTTTTCTTTGAAAACATTTTTTTTTTACATGCAATATTTAGTGCATGAATGCATCATGGAGAGATTATTCTTAGCTGATGATGAGCCAAGCATTAGAAATGCCAAGTCTCCCAGCAGACAGCTATCAAAGATAAAGAAGAAAAGAAGAAAATATCTAATATAGCTATATAACTAATATATCTATATATATAATATATTTATACATCTATATATCTAATATATCTAATATATAATCTAATATTTAAGAAGAAAATATCAAAGAATGCTGATCACCACGCTGACGAGGTGATGAGCAGAGCACACCCTTGCCTTTGGAAGTCAGCCACATGGAACAAAGCCCAGCAGGTCACCTCTCAGGCAGCTCTTGAGCACACAGACACATGTGTCCATCCTCTCACGTGTCCCATGTCCCCTGCCCAGCTGTGTGTCTGCAGAGGTGCCTCCATGGAGGGGAGTGTGTCGCCCCCAACGCCTGCCAGTGCTCCGGAGGATGGGTGGGAACGCTGTGCCAGACCCGTGAGTGATCCCCCAATCCCTGCAGCTTTGTAAAAGCCACCTCAGGTTTTTGCACATTGCATTTGCTCCTGTGTCTGTGTGTTGTGTCATGTTTTTGCCTGAAGTCAATCATCTTAAAGGTCTTTTCCAAGCTAAAAGATTCCATGATTCTATTACGTGCAAAAGTCAACCATAACATGATTAGCACCTAAAGTCTTCCTCTTATTTATCAGAATTGTCCTACCAGCAAAACTGGTACTTTGAAAGACATTTCTACACTCAGCATAAGAGGCCTGACTCATCTGTTTTCTCACATGGATGTTGAGATCAACCTGTCAGACAAAATAAGTACTTTTCAAATTAAATAAATTTAAATACAAGGTAAAACTACGAGGTCAAGGAGAAAAGGAAATGGAGTATCCATTCTCTATACCCAAGTGGCATTAAGCACAGAAATTCTGTGTCTGCTGACCTGAGAGCCTGACCCTGTAAATTCTACTTGTTCAGACTGACCAAGGTGGCTGGAAGTATTTGCATTTGCAGGGGTTGGAAGACCTGGAATGGGAAGAGATCTGTTATTGCCAATTACATCCAGGGTCACTTCAGTTTGTGTCTGCCATTAGCTTTACAGCAAAAGGGTATGAGGAAAATATCAAGGCATTATCCCCTGTAAAGGGCATTATCTCCTTTATCTTTCTTTCCCTCACACTCACAGAGCATAATTACTTATGGAAATCTTCTGTCAGCTAACTCCCAATGGCTGTGTAATTGTTTCTTTGTGCCAGCTGTCTTCTAGTTCAAACATGGGAATGTTTAAAGTTATTGATGGCATATCCTTGACTCAGTTTATAAAATAAATAAACAAATTGTGCTTGCTCCTATGAAAGGCAATTAACAATTTCTGCTGTCCTATGCAGGCACACAAGCCAGGTAATTTTTTATAGATTTATCTAACCTTTTAAACTTTGCTCCAAATCCCTTCATTCGCTAGTCATTCTGGTTTTACTATTTCTTCCCATAGTGGGAGGTTAAATCTCTTTTTTTTTTTGTCCAAAAGGGTCTGGCTGAATCTCCCAGGTCCCACAGCAACCCCAAATCTCGGGTTTTTTAAAGAGAAGGAGAGAAGACTATTGTCAGAGAGCAGATGGTGAGGTCTTACAATGCTGCTCCAGGGTATTCACAGTGAGGCAGGGGAACAGGATCAACCTCACAGATGTCAGGTCTGAAGTGTAACTCTGAAACCAAGTCATGTTTCATGCTTTAATGGGAGGCTATTCCCTCAAACCCTGGACTCAATGGAACAGATGCATTTATCTGTCTAAACATGAGAAGCCTCCTGACTTTCTCCCTTGCTCACCTTCTCCTCAGCTCTGGCAGAGGCTGCAGCAGCACAGAGGGCTGAACCCAGCCCCTGGGCACTGTTTTTGCTGCTCTTGCCCTGCTCTGGCCCCTGTCCCACCTCCCAGCAGCACAGGGACACTGGGCCAAGCCCACAGGCTCTGCCAGAACCCATCAGCTTCTGGCAAGGAGCTCTTTGGTTCATCACTCCACTCCCCTGTGCAAAACTGCTTTGTCACATTTCAGCTCCTGAGGTTTCCCTGAGCTCAGCACCCCTGTCTTGCTTGGATGTGTATTCCCAAATTCTGTGTTCCACCATGGCATCAGCAAGGCTGAATTCAACCTAGATTTGCACCATTTTAACCACAGACTTTGGCTATTAAACTCAACAATAGACCAAACATTCACATTGTAAAATCAGAAAGTAGTAGCTGCCACATTCTATGAAAATAATATTTCATATGTATATTTCTTTATTCTATAACATTAAATTAATGTAAAGTTTTTATACTATATTTGAATATTTTGATTAATACTATGTATTAATTCTATGTTTTCAAATTATTAATCTCAACTGTTTCCATTTTGTTAATCTCAATCGTTTCCATTTCATAATGCAAATATTCCATCTCACTCTACGAGTAAAAATTCAGAGGATAGGTTTTTTCAACAATCACTCTATAATCCAGAATCCATTAGGGCAGAATTGTTTCTTGGGGGCTGTTTCAAGGGTAGGAGATGATTAGATAATCCCAGCTTCATTTTTGTTTTCAGCCTGTGAATTCACTTGACTACCCTGATCAGGATGGTGGTGATGGAAATGCAGATACAGGTTTCATCTACACCCTGAACCTCATGTTTTCCTCCCTGACTTCCTAACACACTGAGGAGGGTGACTAAACCACAGGATACGCAGAGACTTCCACTGCTATTTTCTGGACATTTCTCAGATTGTTGAGATCCTTTATACTGAGATAACCAGAGTAGGTCCTTGAGCCAACGAAAGGGACAACGGACAAATACTAAGAAATTATCTTGGTCATCTACTTGGACATCTACTTTTTGGTTTATCTTTCATAAGAGTCCCACATCACCTCCATCTGTTCAGTTTCTAACTCACAAAGGCCTGAGCCCACATGGACCATTCAAGAAGATGTTTGGAGGCAGCACCTGCCACAACAATTCCTCTCCAAACACTTTTTTTCTTCAGCCTTCTACTAAAACAAAAAAGGTAAAACATTCTCTGCTTTTTACTATCTACAACCTCAGATACTAATATCTCAGATTTTCTTGTCATCTTTCACCAGGAACAAAGACATAGATCTCTATCACAAGTGATAACCCAAAAAGCTTCAACCTTTCAGCAGACAAACCCACTGACAGTACCCTATAACAGATTTTCCATTCTACTGCAATGAAGATTGGCAAGGATTGGCAATGATTGGCAATTGGCAGAATAATTTTATGTCTAAAATATTTTGAAAATGCCTCAGAGAGCCAGAACGGGCTGTAATATCAGAGGTAACAAGGAGCTTATAACTAATTTGGAGCATTTTGGAGATGCAATCACCCAGGCAAAACCTCTGCCTCTTTTGCAATGATGCACAATGAAATTGCATGGCCATGTCATGCAGTGAATTATGATTTCTAAATGCTAAAATTAGTCAAACTCACAATGACATTCCAGAGGCATCTGTGCAGGAAAGTTTATTTACAGCTTCACCAGTCCCTGGCTGCAACTAGAGAACTTGGCAAGAGCAAAAGAGACTTTCAGTAGGCATTGATAATGGATAAAACACAATAGTCCTCCTTTATCAGACTGTAAATAAAGAGGTCAGTCAAAAGAGTAGTTTTCTTCCCCACTCATCTGTAACTGAACAGAATGGCTTCTGAAAGAGAATCAATAAAATAGGTCATTTGTCCCAACAAATAAGGTGTATGGGGGAATACACACGTTATCCTTGATAAATACCTGTGACTTTGAGGGGAATAGTTTAAGGAATAATGGTCAATTTTCAGACTGTACTGCAAATGTAGGGAAATAACCTTTTGAAAGAACACGTTAAAAAAACTAATTTGCAATATTCAACATGTCTCAACTATAGAAAAGAGTAGCTTTAGAGATGGTGGTTCTTCCATTAGAAGCTTTTTTTGTCTCACTCTGTTTTTAGCTTCCATGGCTGCAAAAATATCCAAAACCTTGCCTTTCTGAAAAGAAAGAAACAGTATCCCAGGAACACCATGGTTTCCCTGATTTCATTCCTATTCCATATTAGACATCAGTTTAAAGATCCATGCCTGTGGCTTCCCCTTGCCTCCTGTGCTGGTAACTCACATTTCTCTTTTTCTTGGGCTCAGAAAGAAACCTTGGGCCAAAGAAATGAATGTGTGGCAGCAGAACCTGATGGCCGTGACAGAGACACCCAAAACACATCTCAGCAAAGTCAGGAGGCTTCTGGCCAGGGGTACAGGTCTGTTGTTTAAGGCTCTGAATGCAGGATCAAGGTATAATTCTAACAATTAATTATAAAGTATAAGAAGGTTATAGTTGTGAAGGATGTTCATCATTAAAATTCATGCTGCTGTCTTCTGTTCTAATATTATTGAACCCATACTGGCTCCTCATTGCCCTTCAGAATAACTTCTCTTTATTTGCATGTTATAAGTGTCAAGCTTATGGCCTTATAATTTCCTCAATATTCTTCCCATTCTCTCGCTCTGCCTTGAACATCCTAGGCAGGATTTCTTCAAGCTTTCCTCTGTAACCCTTCCAAACCTTATAAAAAGCAAATAATTTTGAAAAGAATGTCGTTCGCATGCAAATTATAGCTCTGTTCTTTTAACATGCAGGGATAAAGCTCTTTCTGTAATTGGCATTTATTGATTATAATTTTAACATAAGCTTAGCTTGTTAAATGACTTTGCTGGATCTGTACAGGATAATGCATACATAGCTGGTGTCATTTTTAGTGTTTAGTGGCTTAGCATCCCTTGTAAATACATTTATGAAATATTCATTTGAATTTCAGCTCTGTTATTATCCTCTGTGATGTCAATTCCAATTTTCCTCCAAAATGTTTTTAACTTTTCTCTTAACTGAGCTCTTGTTTTTCTGAGCACTACAGAAAGAAGCTGGGGGGTGATCAGGGAGAGATAGACAGGAAGAAAAGGATGAAAAAATGAGGAAATATTTTCCCTTTTTAAAATTTATTTTCACAAGCTGAGAATCAGGGAAACACAGAGAGAAAACAAAATCCTAGTTCCTCATCTAATGCCCATGTGTACCAGAGCATACCCAGATGCTGTAGGGTTCTGCAGAAAATCCACTTCTCTTTGCATTACCTATTCCTGTTTTATCTGCTACCAAGATGAAAGGAAAATCAGCTTCCATTTTTCTCCAGCCCATATTCATATCAAACAAATAACAGAAATATACACAATTCTTTCTCTAATGATATTATCACACACAGGTCTCTCTCTTCCTGTTTACCACACAGTGGAACTGAACGTGCTTGGGCACAAGGAGCCTTTTCTGCTGACAATGCAATCCCTGTTGGGAAATGGCTTTGTTCCAGTGAGCCAAACTCTAAGTATTTTCCATCTGTAAATCTGGCCTTGCAAGGTTCATGGAGGAGCTGGAGTAGCATCACAGAGATGATAAGCTCCCTGTTCTAGCCTGAGTG